TTTGCCTGAATGGGAGCGAACTGGTAGCATTTCACCCGTTTCTGACCTTAGGCTCTTCTTGTCTTTTTTTTTTTTTTTGCAGAATGCGTTAATATTGGCCTTGTCATCGAAATCATGGGACATACAGAGAGCCAACGGAGCTACTCCTGAGTAACTCAGGCCTGTGCAGAAACTGCTTCATGCCATCATCACTTCTTTTTGAGATTCTCTTTTGTGACTGGCGGCGGCTCTTGCACGATGCTACCTGAGCCTTCTTGTGTAGACTGGAAAACTGTAAATAAAGCCAATTAAACACCTGTATAAATTGGGAGCGGGGGAGGGAACAAACCAAGGGGGAAATACCTTATTTTTTTTTTTCTTACTAAATATTGTAAATTCCTTGAGCTTGGCTTAAAAAAAATAAAAAGGTGAGGACAAACCTATCTGCAGTGCGACCGAGACTAAGCAGGGATTTGCATCAGGATTTTGACTTTATTCTGTATATATCAGGTTGTGTGTCTGTCATCATCAGTGGTTGATGTCACTCATCCCGGCTCCCTTACTGGTTGTTGTTTTTTTAAATGGATCCTACATGCCCGTGAACAGGTTAAAATGCTGTCAGGATAATCTAATTGCAGCTAGCAATGACTCAGAAACGATGAACGTTGGCTAACTTTTCAGGGTTTTTTTTAAAATATATATTCTGAAGTTTACATTTAGCAATTTTTCAGATACGGGCTGACGCACTTCACAGTCCAGCTTGGCATATCTCAATGCACCTCCTGCTTTCCCCCAGAAATAGTTTATTTAAGCCAGCATGAAAACAACAGAAAAGGTTCATTTTTCATTTACCAAAAAGAAAGAAAGAAAGAAAGAAGAGAAAGAAAGAAAGAAAGAAAGAAAGAAGAAAGAAAGAAAAGAAAAGAAAAGAAAAGACAAATTTTTCTAGGAATAAATAGAATAGAAATAATTGGAATAGAATAGAAATAATTGGAATGGAATGGAATGAAATAAAATAGAAAGAATAGAATAGAATAGAATAGAATAGAATAGAATAGAATAGAATAGAATAGAATAGAATAGAAATAATTGGAATGGAATGGAATGAAATAAAATAGGAATAGAATAGAATAGAATAGAATAGAATAGAAATTGGAATGGAATGGAATGAAATAAAATAGAAATAGAAAGAATAGAATAGAATGGAATAGAATAGAATAGAATAGAATAGAATAGAATAGAATAGAAATAATTGGAATGGAATGGAATGAAATAAAATAGAAATAGAAAGAATAGAAAGAATAGAATAGAATAGAATAGAATAGAATAGAATAGAATAGAATAGAATAGAAATAATTGGAATGGAATGGAATGAAATAAAATAGAAATAGAAAGAATAGAATAGAATAGAATAAATAGAATAAAATAGAATAGAAATAATTGGAATGGAATGGAATGAAATAAAATAGAAATAGAAAGAATAGAATAGAATAGAATAGAATAGAATAGAATAGAATAGAATAGAATAGAATAGAATAGAATAGAAATAATTGGAATGGAATGGAATGAAATAAAATAGAAATAGAAAGAATAGAATAGAATAGAATAGAATAGAATAGACTGATGGACAGTGGAAACAATAAATCAATGGAAAAATAGAATAGAATAGAATAGAATAGAATAGAATAGAATAGAATAGAATAGAATAGAATAGAATAGAATTCTTTATTGGCCAAGTGTGATTGGACACACAAGGAATTTATCTTTAGTGCATAAGCTCTCAGTGCACATAAAGAAAAAAAATAAAATATATTCATCAAGAATCATAAAGAGACAACACTTAGCGATAGTCATAGGATACTAAATAAGCAATCAAATCATACCAGGAAACAATCAAAACAATATAAATTGTAAAGATACAAGCAACATGGATATAGCCATAAGTGGGAAGAGAGAGGTACTAGTAAGGATGAGAAGAACTTACAGTCTTAGTAGTTAATTTGTTGTGGGAATGAGTTGTTTAGCAGAGTGATGGCATTCGGGGAAAAAAGGGGGGCAGACCCCTTCCCCTTTTGGCGGAAGGCTTCAAGCAAGCCCTCGCACAGCATTTACCAAGTCTTAAACACCAGCTTCTCCCCCTTACCCTGCTCTGCAAGTCCTGCTATGTTGCCTCAAGACAGATAGTCCTCGGTGTACGACCACAATTGAGCCCAACATTTCTGTTTGCTGAACAAGACAGTTGTTGGGTGAGTTATGCCCCATTTGACGGACTTTCCGGCCAACACTGATAAGGGAATCAGTGATCTGCCACAACTACGGATCCGAAAGAACACAGCACACACAAAGTTTGTACAAAACTCAATTTACTAAAATAACTCAGTCTTTTTCAAAACAAAGGCTGTTAATAAACTTTCTTAACAGCCTACAAGAAACCAAAGATAATCACAATCTTACTAAGGTTGGCAGAAAGCCCAGAAGCAATTTGCAGAGAATCCAGACACAAAGGAGAGTGAACTAAAGTTGTTCCCTACAAATTGCTTCAGTCGGCATTCCTCCTTAAATAGGCTAAGGGAGTGGCCAAGTAGCCCCAAGCCTTACTCTCGAGGAGACCTCCTCCTGAGGAGCCACTCCTGCCTTTTGACAGCTCTGCACGCCCGTGCATCGAGAAGAGGCTCCTCCTCTTCTTCCTCTTCACTTATGGGAGCTTCTGGAGATTCTGAAGGCCCTGGCTGAATCCCCGCCTCTGGCACCACATCTTCTCCAGCCTCCTCACTGTCCGACTCGAGTGCCAGCTGCACAGGCTGCTGGCGCAGCACCACACCAGCCTCCTCGCTGTCAGAATCAGCTACAATCCGCACAGGCCGCTGACAGGCCACAACAATCAGCACAGCTGTTAAGTTAGCAACACGGTTGTTCAGTAAACCCGGCTTCCTCAATGGCTTGGCTCGTCAGAAAGTTGCAAAAGGGTGATCATGTCACACACACCCCGGAACGCTGCAACCGTCATAAATACGAGTCAGCTGCTAATTTGGATCACCTGTCCATATTTACGACGTGGGCTAGATTACAGCCTTCAGGACATCCTAGTGCTGATGTTGCCATGTAGGAAGCGAACATCCGAAGCTGCGAAGGCAGCCTCACTGCAGGGACGCTGAACGTCACAAACGAGAAAAGTTCAACACACTGAAAGAGGGCCTGAATCGACTGCAGTTGCCATCTTAAGCACCGGCAAATGGAGACGGACTGGAATCGGGACGCTTTCACACAGCACCGGTTACTGCCCAGTGTCAACTTGTGAAGCTTTCAAGTTGCCATGAGCAGGAGGGAGGGAGAACTGAACTGAATTCCATACATTCTTCCTGACCGCAATCAGAAGGAGGGTGTTAGGTTTCACAGCCAGCCAAAGTGGTTAATTGGAGAATGTGATTTATGACATGGCCAGAGAGGAGGGGAGAGACAGGGTCATAGGGGAACATAAATCTACGTGGGATCAGTCCTAACTGCATCCGAGTATTGCCAGAATGTTGCTCCTAATATATAACTGTATTTCCTTTGAAGTTTGGATCATGGGTCATGAATTAATTAGGGCATTTTTCGGAAACTTGACACCCAGGATGTGAGAAACTATGACGAAATTGTGTGGCTTTCGTACAGGTCGTCGGCTATGTACAACCATTTGTTTAGTGACTGTTGGAAGTGACAAGTGCACTGGAAAAAGCAACTGATGAGCATTTTTCATACTTAGGATTGTTGCAGCATCTCCAGGGTCATGTGATCAAAATTCGGATGCTTGGCCACTGACTCATATTTATGACGGTCGAGGTGTCCCTGGGTCATGTGATCCCCTTTTGCAACTTTCTGACAAGCAAAGTCAAGGGGGAAGTCGGATTTGCTTAACGACCTGCGTTACTAGGTTAACAACTGCAGGGTTTGACTTCACAAATGTGGCGAGAGAGGTTGTAAAATAGGGAAAAACTCATTTAACAACTGCCTTGCTAGCAATGGAAATTTTGGGCTCAATCGTAGTCATAAAGCGAGGACTACCTGTTATACAAATTCAATACACACTTCGGATGGACGAAGGCTTAGCTTTTTTTTTTTAAAAAAAAAAAACCTATTTGGTTGGGTAACAAGAAACGAGATCAGCTGCAGTCAGGATGAAAGCTATCAACTGCCAACTCCTGCACCCAAGCCTCTTCTGAACGTCCACTGGACAGACAGTCAGGTCAACTCAACAGTTCAAAAGAGATGTGGACTTCAGAAATGTTGCATTTGAGCTTTGGGATGAAACCAGGGAGGGGAAAAAAGGAAAGGAAGGGAGGAAGAAAGAAGATAAAAAGAGGGACGGAAGGGAAAAAGGAAAGACGGAGATAAAAAGAGGGAGGGAGAGAGGGAAGAAAGGAACGAGGAAGGGAGATAAATTGAGGGAGTGGGGGAGGGAGGGAGAAAAAGGAAAGGAAGGAAGGAAGGAAGGAAGGAAGGAAGGAAGGAAGGAAGGAAGGAAGGAAGGAAAGAAGATAAAGAAGGAATAGCAATAGCACTAGACATATATACCGCTTCACAGCATGTCTCAAGGGAGGGAAGGAAAGGGAAGGGAAGGGAAGGGGGAAGGGAAGGGGGAAGGGAAGGGAAGGGAAAGGGAGGGAGGGAGGGAGGGAGGGAGGGAGGGAGGGAGGGAGGGAGGGAGA